ATTTCTAATCAGGACTTGAAGGAATGCAAACATAATGAAAACATTATTAGTGCATTGTTCAGAATAAGTGCAGTGTACAATACATAGGCAAAGCATACAGTACAAATATCTTATTAAAGTGACTTGGAGATATTGTCCTCTTGGTTGCTCAAATATGACCCTATGTTAGTGGGTAGTTTGTACACACTCCAGCCACCTATTTGTGAAACAGAACATAAACCATAGCAACATTAAGATACAGTCAGGTCCATAAATATTGGGACATCGACACAATTCTAACATTTTTGGCTCTATACACCACCACAATGGATTTGAAATGAAACGAACAAGATGTGCTTTACCTGCAGACTGTCAGCTTATATTTGAGGGTATTTACATTCAAATCAGGTGAATGGTGTAGGAATTACAACAGTTTGCATATGTGCCTCCCACTTATTAAGGGACCAAAAGTAATGGGACAGAATAATAATCATAAATCAAACTTTCACTTTTTAATACTTGGTTGCAATTCCTTTGCAGTCAATTACAGCCTGAAGTCTGGAACGCATAGACATCACCAGACGCTGGGTTTCATCCCTGGTGATGCTCTGCCAGGCCTCTACTGCAACTGTCTTCAGTTCCTGCTTGTTCTTGGGGCATTTTCCCTTCAGTTTTGTCTTCAGCAAGTGAAATGCATGCTCAATCGGATACAGGTCAGGTGATTGACTTGGCCATTGCATAACATTCCACTTCTTTCCCTTAAAAAACTCTTTGGTTGCTTTTGGAGTATGCTTTGGGTCATTGTCCATCTGCACTGTGAAGCGGCGTCCAATGAGTTCTGAAGCATTTGGCTGAATATGAGCAGATAATATTGCCCAAAACACTTCAGAATTCATCCTGCTGCTTTTGTCAGCAGTCACATCATCAATAAATACAAGAGAACCAGTTCCATTGGCAGCAACACATGCCCACGCCATGACACTACCACCACCATGCTTCACTGATGAGGTGGTATGCTTAGGATCATGAGCAGTTCCTTTCCTTCTCCATACTCTTCTCTTCCCATCACTCTGGTACAAGTTGATCTTGGTCTCATCTGTCCATAGGATGTTGTTCCAGAACTGTGAAGGCTTTTTTAGATGTCGTTTGGCAAACTCTAATCTGGCCTTCCTGTTTTTTGAGGCTCACCAATGGTTTACATCTTGTGGTGAACCCTCTGTATTCACTCTGGTGAAGTCTTTTCTTGATTGTTGACTTTGACACACATACACCTACCTCCTGGAGAGTGTTCTTGATCTGGCCAACTGTTGTGAAGGGTGTTTTCTTCACCAGGGAAATAATTATTCGGTCATCCACCACAGTTGGTTTCCATGGTCTTCCAGATCTTTTGGTGTTGCTGAGCTCACCGGTGCATTCCTTCTTTTTAAGAATGTTCCAAACAGTTGTTTTGGCCACGCCTAATGTTTTTGCTATCTCTCTCATGGATTTGTTTTGTTTTTTCAGCCTAATGATGGCTTGCTTCACTGATAGTGACAGCTCTTTGGATCTCATCTTGAGAGTTGACAGCAACAGATTCCAAATGCAAATAGCACACTTGAAATGAACTCTGGACCTTTTATCTGCTCATAGTAATTGGGATAATGAGGGAATAACACACACCTGGCCATGGAACAGCTGAGAAGCCAATTGTCCCATTATTTTTGGTCCCTTAACAAGTGGGAGGCACATATGCAAACTGTTGTAATTCCTACACCGTTCACCTGATTTGGATGTAAATACCCTCAAATTAAAGCTGACGGTCTGCAGTTAAAGCACATCTTGTTCGTTTCATTTCAAATCCATTGTGGTGGTGTATAGAGCCAAAAATGTTAGAATTGTGTCGATGTCCCAATATTTATGGACCTGACTGTATATACCATTGCCAGCCAAAGGAGGTGATCAACATCCATACATCACTGTCTCATCAATCCAGTATATCGCCTGAACGTCATAGGTTAACTCTGAGCACCAGGACATCTTGTCTAATATACCCCCATGACACCAAGGGTAGAGGTGAGGGCAGGGGGATTTTCGTTCTCGGGGACCATTGTGTGCCATTGTCCATACGTCAATCAATAAACAAATAACCTCCTTCTTCTCCTCCACTCCTACCAAAAAGTCACACTTTCTCCCTAGAAAGTATACAATATAACATATCCTTTTTGTGATAAACTACATAAATCCCAAATAAAATAAAATAAAATAAAGTTCCACAAATAAAATTAATTAATGCAATCAAAATTAATACAATTAAATTAAAAATTGTGTCCAAATCAAATTCAATCCCAAATATGTCCCAAAATTCAAATAAACCCAAATGTGTCCAATGCCAAGGTCCCAAATTTTCCACTTCAATCCAGTTGGAAGGAAAATGATCCTAAATATTCCATGAAAACCTCAAAAAAGAAAAATCCATAGTGCATTATCTTTTAAATATATATAACAACACTCCACTCTGTGCAAAATGCAAAACCACTCTTAAAATAGTGCAAAAAAAAAAAAAATAACTTTCTGTGCAAATTTATATAAATATATGCTTATTATTTAAATAAATAAAACCCAAAATGTGACAAACTCCGTGGACACTTCAATCACATATACACTCTGTGATCCAACCAGTTGTGAATTGTGATACTAGGTACTATTACCCTCTATAATCCAGCCAATAGTGATACTAGGTACTATTACCCTCTGGGAGTTATTCTCAAGCATAGGCTATCTTATGGAATCCATATCTTTCCATTCCTTCACTTCAGGGGTACTCCTCCAAAGTCCTCATAAAGATAAGAAGGCTCTTAAGCAGAATTCAAACCATAGAAACAAATTTATTCATGACTTACATTAAAAGAAAGGAACTTCCAGCTCACAACATTGCTCCTCAATGGCTCTGTACTGGCTGAACAAACATTTGGTTGAAAACCATGTGTAAACAACCAACAAAATGGCAGCGGCGACACTTCCGGTTAGCGTGCGTGTGTCTTGACGTCACTCCTCTAACGCGTTTCGTCACTTCCGGACTGCGTCTGAAGGGATACGGACGTCTCATTGGCCTCTCCTTTTATCCAAATGTCTCTCAATGACCTGAGGCTTGTGCCGCCATTTTAAATGAGGGAAAAAACCGCTAAAATGATTCTTACTATCACAAATCCGGAAATCCCGGATATAAAACTTAATATCACAATCTAACCTAACAACATGATTAATACAAACTCTCAAATCTTACCATATGTAAAATACATCAATTGTAGCCTATTCTTCCACACTAAATACATCATCTGACATATACCTAAATTTGCTCTACTACCCCTATTTAATATATTTAAAATTAGTAACCCCATAAATCATTAATATTTCCTACACCTTATTTTTCTAGAACTAATACTTTAATAATCATCATAGCATAAAATAAAATAAAGTACAAACTTTAATATCCCTTAATCATTATAAATCTATTATAAGTACTCCGCTCCCTCTACTGGCCCTTATTAACATAGCCCTCCACATTACACTACCCTATTTGAAATAAAATCAAACATACATCCAAATAAATATATAACCATCCATACCCTCCCATATAAGTACCAAATAATTTTAATTCATCCTAACATTCCATCCACAGAGGCCCCCAATCTATAAATTAATTTAATTCTATTAAACCGACTCATAAAAATAAATACTAAGAACCACAGCTCATATATAACTCAGATAAAAATACAGATAAAACCACAGCTCATATTATTTCAAGCTCTATATCCAATCCCCTCAATTAATGTACATCCAACCAAATTCATACATTTTTCTTCCCTCATATATCCGAAATAAAACAGTTTAAATCCAGCTCTATATTCAATCCCTTAGGTTTGAGTGTATTTACCCGAAAAATCCAAAAGGTTTCATTCTGGGATAATTTCTGAATTCTATTACCCCCTCTCCAGTGTCCTTCCACAGTATCAATCCCGCAAAATTTCAACAAACTTGGATCTGAGTTGTGAAATTCTTTAAAATGTCTCGAGACACTGTGATCTTTTTTACCCTTTTTAATATTCCTAACATGTTCTTCTAGCCTCACACGTAGATTTCTCTTTGTTCTACCTATATATTGGAATTGTCACGGACATTCCAACATATACGTAACATACCGTGTATTACATGTGATAAATTGTTTTATAGAAAACTGTTCTCCAGTCGAATGGGACCTAAAAGATGAAATCACCTTATTACTAATTCCAGTGGTTTTACACATCCTACATTTTTTACAAGGATAGAACCCTTTAAAATCAAACATTTTAATAGCCTTTTTCTTCGGTGGGGAAATTACTCCTTTAACTAGGGTACTTCTTAAATTATTTGTTTTTCTATATATAAATGATGGTTTCTTTGGTAAGACTGGACCCAGGACGTTATCTTTCTTTAACCACTTGCCTACCAGGCACTTATACCCCCTTCCTTACCAGGCCAATTTTCAGCTTTCAGCGCTGCCGCACTTTGATTGACAATTGCGCGGTCATGCAACATTGTACCCAAATGAAATTTTGATCATTTTTTTCTCACAAATAGAGCTTTCTTTTGGTGGTATTTAATCGCCACTGGGCGCTTTACTTTTTTGCGCTATAAATTAAAAAAGTGCAAAAAATTTGAAAAAAAAAAAAGTTTATATGTTTCTTTTATAAAATTTTTCAAACAGGTATTTTTTCTCCTTCACTGATTTGCGTTGATGAGGCGGCACTGATGGGCACTGATAGGCGGCACTGATGGGCACTGATAGGCAGCACTAAAGGGCACTGATAGGCAGTACTAATGAGGTGGCACGGATAGGCGGCACTGATAGACAGCACTAATTAGGGGTCACGGATAGGCGGCACTGATATGCAGCACTGATAGGCGGCACTGATAGGTGACACTGATGATGGGTACTGATAGACGGCACTGACTGGCATCACTTCTGGGCACTGACTGGCACAACCCCTGGGCACTGACTGCTGGCACTGACTGGCAGCACTGCTGGACGGCACTGGTGGGCGGGCACAGGTGGGTGGCACTGGTGGGCACAGGTGGGTGGCACTGGAGGGCACAGGTGGGTGGGCACAGGTGGGTGGGCACAGGTGGGTGGCACTGCTGGGCACATGTAGGTGGCACTTCTGGGCACAGGCAGAGTGGCACAGGTGGGTGCACTGCTGGGCACAGGTGGGGGCACTGCTGGGCACAGGTGGGGGCACTGCTGGGCACAGGTGGGCGGGGCAAGTGGGCGCACTGCTGGGCGGAACTTGCGGGTGTCACTGCTGGGCACCGATCATCAGGGCACTGATCATCAGTGCCCTGATGATCGGTGCCGATCCCCGCTCTGACAACTGCCGGTTCTCGGCAGTACTTTCCTCACGATCTGACAGCGTGAGGAAAGTGCAGCCGAGAACCGGCACTTGCATTTCCCTGTGATCAGCGTGTCATTGGACACCGCTGATCGCGTGGTAAAAGGCCGGTGGGATCGGCCTTTCACCACATCACGTGATCAGCTGTGTCCGTAGGACACAGCGATCACGGAGATCGCCGGGTGCGCGCCCCCTGGGGCGCGCAGGAGAGTGCGTTCTGGGAGGACGTCATATGACGTCCACTCAGAACTGGCCGGCCGCGGTGAAGCCGTCATTTGGCTATGCGCGGTCGGCAAGAGGTTAATATTGGCCAATGTCTCATAAAAACCTTTTCAATTTCTTTAAATTGACAGTTAAAACGCGAAATGAATGCATACTCTATTCTTTTATTATTTTCTTTCATTTTCAATTTTTTCTTAATTTTTCCATCCCCTAAATAGTTCTGACTAATTTTAAATCTCATATCTTCCAATTTATTTGGGTCATAACCCTTAGACAAAAACCTATCCCTAATGATATCAGATTGTACAATATAGTCTTCCAACCTAGAGCAGTTTCTCATAATTCTTGTAAACTGCCCTTTCGGTATACCCTGGATCCAATGAGGGTGGTGACAGCTACTCGTAGGAATGTATCCATTTCTATCTGTATCTTTAAAAAAAGTTTTAAAACATAATTTATTATTAAATTTAAAAATAGTTAAATCCAGAAAATTGGCCAATTCGGTACTAATATTATGGGTAAATTCCAATTCATAACTATTAGTCCCAATAAAATCCAAAAAACATTGTAAACTCCCCTCTGTCCCTTCCCATATTACCAAAATATCATCTATATATCTTTTCCATATTCTTAACCCTTTCCAACTTTTACCGTAGATTTCCTTATCCTCCCACTTCGCTAAAAAGATGTTGGCTAAACTTGGGGCAAATTTAGCGCCCATTGCAACACCCTTCTTTTGCTCATAATAATCTCCATTATACCAGAAATAATTCTTCCCCATTGAAAATTCCAACAATTGAATAATGAATTTCCTCTCTTTAATATGCAAGTCAGTATGATTTTTTAAGGCCCACTTAATAGCTTCTATTCCATCTACATGCTTAATACTTGTGTATAGGGAGTTCACGTCTATGGTAACTAGATACATTTCTTGAGTACTCTCCATTCCTTCCAATAAATTAATGACATCCTGACTATCTTTTAAGTATGACGGCATTTTCTTAACCACTGGTTGTAAATAAAAATCAATGTACTGTCCCACCCTTGAATGTATCGACCCAATCCCATTAATGATGGGCCTACCTGGAGGTTCTGTCAAACTCTTATGGATTTTTGGTAAAATATACATATACGGTACTTTACAAAATGAAGGAACCAGATATAGAGCTTCTTTTTCATTAATAATTTTATCTTCCTCTGCTTTTTTAACTAATTTCTGGAGCCGTTTTTTATATAAAACAATCGTATTTTTTAAAATCTTCACATATGTCCCAGTGTCACTTAAAATCCAGTCCATTTCCTCTTCATATTTTATTCTATCCATTATCACCGCCCCTCTACCCTTATCTGCTGGTCTAATAACAATGTTCCTCTTATTCTTTAAAGCGACCAAACCCTGATATAGAGATTCTTCTTCCTTTAAATTACGTGTATTTACTTCATATAAATCATCTATTACCATCTGCTTAAATACTTCTATATTCATATTCCTAGTATTAGAGGAGTTAAACGTAGACTTATTCTTTAAGTCACTATGAACATATTTAGACATTGACAAGGGGTTCGCAGTTCGTGTGTTGGACCTGGTAAGGAAGCAAAGTACTTTTTAATATTTAGTTTCCTAATATATTAATTTTATATCAATGTATGTCTCAAATTTATTTAAATTCGATTTTGGAGCAAACTTTACACCTTTATCTAACACCAAAATTTCATTTTCTGTCAAAGGAACTGAGCTAAGATTGTAAATACCTTCCCCTATACTTCGTTCCTCTTTCTTTTGTTTATATTCCCTTTGTCTTGTGATTGGTCCCCTATATAATGATTCTGGGGTCCGCTTCCCTCCTCCTCTCTCGGAACATAACTTCCTTCCCATTCCCTCCTCTGATAGTATGGAGGATTTCTCGGTCCTCCTCTTCCCCATTGGGGTTGATAAAATGGTCTCATGAACGGTGGACCCGGGGGACGGCCTCTGTAGTCCCTCTGAAAAAAATTTCCCCTTCCTCTATTTCTACTCGGGCTATGATAATTACCCCTTGGGCTATAATAATTATTCCAGCTCTCTAAAGGCTGAAACCTATTTTGTACCGGGATATTAAATGCCTGATTGAATGAGCTCTTAGGTTTAGAATTATCTCTCCCCGACAATGATTTAGATTCCACTATTTTCCCTGGGATTGACAGAGTGTCCTTATTCCTATTTTGGCCCTGGGAAATGTGTCCTTGTATTAGCCTATTCCTTTCATTATCCTCTGACAATGATTTGGCTGGTGATGATTCAGTCGATTGGCAATTATTAATCGCCAACTCTTGCCATATATAAATTTTGTTAGCCTGATAATCACCCATATCTCTAACAAATTTTTTATGTTTCTTTTTCTTAATTTCCCCATATTTCTTATTAAGCTGTTCCTGTAAAGTCTGGAATAATCCAAATCCAAATAATCAAATCCTTTTTATCTTTACATTCTTCAACCTTCTTTTTCATCTCCTCCAATTTTTTTTCTACCATCCTTAATTTTCTCCTTTTCCTCTCTATCAACATATTAAGTAATTGTTCCTCACATGTGTGGAAAAATTTTTCTTCCACTCAATTAGGGAATCTTCATCTATTACCCTCTGGGAGTTATTCTCAAGCTGTCAGGGCTGGGGCCTGAGGAACGGACAGGCAGGCCTAACAATGTAACGCACTGGCTGACGACAACCACCACCCACAGACCGAAGTCCCTCAGGGCGCGGAGTCTAAGTCCCAGGCTGCCCTTCACCAGGGCCCCTGATGGTGGGGATGGACTTGACGCAGCCAGGAACCAGGTCGCGGCCCCCGAGACACCGCAGCTGCGGTAATGGCTGCCGCCAATGGCGTGTAGCTGGTGGAAGAGACAAAAGAGTAGTCAGACAGGCCGGGTCAACAACAACAGGACAAAACAGTACAGGACAGCAGACGAGAATCACAGGTCACGAGCCGGGTTCAGCAACAGAGGGTCAGATCAAAGGAGAATACAAAGAATAGTCGAGTCACTAGCCGAATCAGATACCAGGATAGTCACGAGAGTCAGAACAGAGTAATAGCAACACAAAGACACAAGACACAAGTGCAAAGAGCATGTGCGGACCACAGGCTTATATGTCATCAGCCACACCCCTCTGGGGGAAGGACCTCAGAGACCTGAAGGCATAAAAGGATTCCCATCATGCACAGCAGAAATCCAAGATGGACGCCAGCACATGGAGTAACATAACCTCAGGAAAAAGGTAGGACCTTGACACAAGCATAGGCTATCTTATGGAATCCATATCTTTCCATTCCTTCACTTCAGGGGTATTCCTCCAAATTCCTCATAAAGATAAGAAGGCTCTTAGGCAGAATTCAATTAGGCAGAAGGCAATTGAATATTGGGGTGATTTTGATTAATTCAAAATGGATGTGTTTAGTTTTATGGATACTAGGAAAATTAATTTGGATGAAGTATTCTCGACTACTCAGCTAACTTGTGATGCTAATGTGGAGTTGTTGATGAAAAAAGTGGGCTACACTATGGAAAGGAAGTTGCAATTATGGTGGGATATTGTAACGTTTGAGAAATATATTGCAGAGGGTATAGTACCAAGGAGACTAAGATGGGATTTAATTCCCAATGATGGACTTAATGATGAAGATTCCCTAATTGAGGGGAAGAAATTTTTCCACACATGTGAGGAACAATTACTTAATATGTTGATAGAGAGGAAAAGGAGAAAATTAAGGATGGTAGAAAAAAAAATTGGAGGAGATGAAAAAGAAGGTTGAAGAATTTAAAGATAAAAAGGATTTGAATGGATTATTCCAGACTTTACAGGAACAGCTTAATAAGAAAGATGGGGAAATTAAGAAAAAGAAACATAAAAAATTTGTTAGAGATATGAGTGATTATCAGGCTAACAAAATTTATAAATGGCAAGAGTTGGCGATTAATAATTGCCAATCGACTGAATCATCACCAGCCAAATCATTGTCAGAGGATAATGAAAGGAATAGGCTAATACAAGGACACATTTCCCAGGGCCAAAATAGGAATAAGGACACTCTGTCAATCCCAGGGAAAATAGTGGAATCTAAATCATTGTCGGGGAGAGATAATTCTAAACCTAAGAGCTCATTCAATCAGGCATTTAATATCCCGGTACAAAATAGGTTTCAGCCTTTAGAGAGCTGGAATAATTATTATAGCCCAAGGGGTAATTATCATAGCCCGAGTAGAAATAGAGGAAGGGGAAATTTTTTTCAGAGGGACTACAGAGGCCGTCCCCCGGGTCCACCGTTCATGAGACCATTTTATCAACCCCAATGGGGGGGAAGAGGAGGACCGAGAAATCCTCCATACTATCAGAGGAGGGAATGGGAAGGAAGTTATGCTCCGAGAGAGGAGGAGGGAAGCGGACCCCAGAATCATTATATAGGGGACCAATCACAAGACAAAGGGAATATAAACAAAAGAAAGAGGAACGAAGTATAGGGGAAGGTATTTACAATCTTAGCTCAGTTCCTTTGACAGAAAATGAAATTTTGGTGTTAGATAAAGGTGTAAAGTTCGCTCCAAAATCGAATTTAAATCAGTTTGAGACATACATTGATATAAATAAATATATTAGGAAACTAAATATTAAAAAATACTTTGCTTCCTTACCAGGTCCAACACGAACTGCGAACCCCTTGTCAATGTCTAAATATGTTCAT